CCAGACGCTAAGGCAGGTAAAGGAAGACCCTTTACTTCGTCGATAACGGAGAGAAAAGGCGACCGATTCGATCTTTCTGCTCTTGGAATCTTCGTTCCAAGAAAGTCTCTATGATCTCCATAACGGAAACGAATCTCTTCATTTGCTCTAATCGACGGCTAAGCTCCGCTTCTCTTGCCCTAGCTCGTCGCAGCCTCGCCTCCGTCTCCGCGAGCCGATCTCGAAGATCATCGACCACCGTATCGTCGCTGTCTCCGTCGTACGATCGGCGACGGAGGCTGCTTCGAGATAACGACGATTGATTGTTGTGACCGTAACACATCTTAAAGGAAGACGATAATCGAAAAAAATCAATTTTTTGGGTTTGGGTTTCTTTTCTAACGAAGACGAAGAAGAAACTGAAACTCAAGGGTATTTTGGTCATTTTAAAATGTTCGAAAACCCTCTAATTCGCTTAGAGGGTTTTAAGTTATATAATTACACCTTCTTCTTCTTCTCGAAGGAGCAAGAACAATGGCGAAGCCTTCTTTCTTCTCTGAAACCTCTTCTCGTCTCCCAGACGACACAGTTTTCTTCTCCATATTCCCTGACTCATCCCTCTCCGGCGCCGGAGTATCGGAAACCTCCGCCGCTCTTCAATCGCTTCACTTACAAATCATCGATTTCGTCTCTCCGTTTACTTCTCCTTACATATGGCAACACGAACCCTTCTCTCTCTCCATAGCTCTCTCTTCCACTTGCGCTTGTACCGATACTTCTATTCCTCATCTTCACGGGAAGCTCAAGTATGGAGACAATCTCGAAGACGAATGGTTCGCTGTGTTCTTACTCTTCCGTATCTCCGCCGCGTTTCCTTCTAATTCAATCCGTGTGTGGGATACCGACGGCGAGTTTCTACTAATCGAAGCTGCTTTTCACCTCCCTCGTTGGCTCAATCCCGAAACGAGCCGGAATCGTGTCTTCATTCGCGGCGGTGACCTCCACATCGTTCCTCGTAGCCGCCTCCCGGATCCTTCGTTAATCAAGTCGCTGAGGTTTCTAATCGAGCGTAGCCACGAGTCTCGAGCGTCGGATCCGGTTCAATCCGCGTTAAAGGACCGGATTTCCGATTACCCAGAAAGAGCGTGGAGGAATATGCACCGTGTTAGGGTTAGGGTTCCGATTTCGGTTGCGCAAGTTCTCAAGCACGAGCCTTTCTTAATCTCTCTTGCAGTGGAAGGGTTTTACGATCGTGATGTTGATTCAATGAAACACGCAGCGAAAATGGATAAGTTTTTGAGTAAAGGAAGAGAGGAAGAGATTGTTCTTGTTCTTGTTAAGATGTCTCGTGCAATGTATGGTCAGTTAGTTCAGCAGAAGTTTCAAGCACCAAATTGTTATCCAATGCCGAGTATTAGCGACCGAGATGCTTACTCTGAAGCTGAGTTAGGGATGAAAATAGCTTGTGGTTTGGAAATGATGTATCAGCAGAGGAAAAGAGAAGGTGAAGATGGGAAAGGGATTAGTTGGAGCAAGTATAAAGATAATCTTGAGAAGAATGGTTATTTTGAAGGATTGATTTCTGGTTCCATGGAGTACAAGAGGTTGATGGAGAATGCTGAGGAGTATTACCAGAAGAGTTCTTCGTTTTCGAGGACAAGGTAATAATGAGTGAAAAGGATTCATCTTTAAGTTGTATTATGATCTTGAGTTGTTGTGTTTTTGTTGTGTGCAGAGACATTATGAGTGCGCCAGTGAGACGTATTGATGAGATTCTTGCATTACCTTATTCGGAGGATGACTTCAAGGGTCAGGAAGTTCCTGCTTCCGACAATGATTCTTGGCTTTACGATGGTGAAGATGAGTTAAACTCTGTTCTTCAAGAGAGGGAGAAAGAGATGGAGTTTTATAGCGCAA